GCATCGTTTCAGATATCTGAATTTAGATATTATAAAACATGGTACTAAATAGATCAACTGCCTGGTACAAAAATGACCAGCGATTCTCAACCCCACAGCAAAAACTCGATACACTGAAATTGATTTCTAATCAAACTTTTTCCGCTTCTGAATTTCTCCGCCTCTAAAATTGAATCATATTAGAGATTGATTTCAAAAACACTGAAGCTCTAGAGCGAAGAAAAACTAAGTTGAAGAGGCTCATGAAATTTTGACAATGGAACACACTGGAACGATTATTTCTTCTACTTTTTTTGTCAAAAAAACGATAATTTTTGGGGATAAATGAATAAAAATATTTCTTTTTACTTAAATGAAATTTCAAGTCGGTTTAATAATTTAGAGTCGGTTTAAAACCAAAAGTTAATAAACCGACGTCACCAAACATATTTTTTTTAGTGTATTACTTTTTATTTAATATATTAACACATGAGATCCATGTTCTAAAAATTGGCCGCCTAGGCGCCCAAGGCGCTAATTGAGGGGGGCCACGACAATTTTTTCTAAATGGTTCGAATAATCCCTGATCCGATTTTTTGTTTGCCAAGACCGCCTAATAGCCGCCTAGACCACGTGGAATAACCCGGTCGTTGACTATAGGTACGACCAAGGCACATAAATTTTTGTCGGATTGTTTTTGGTCCTATTTTCGTTGAAAATAACTCGGGAGGTTATTTAGAGATTTTTGATCGAAGAAAAAGTTATTTACGGTCAAAATATCAAGTTTTAGATCGAGCGGGTTGATCAATTACGATTCTAAGTGTGCAGTATCGTACCGTGAGCACGTTGGTGCGACCGGAGAATTTTGGTGTTACGGGCGAACTACATTGCGGAAATCTAGCCATAAAATCATGTAGGGATTATGAGAAGCATATCTCGGATTTTATGGAGAAGTAGAGAGTTTGTTGTTGGGAGTTTGGGAAAGAAAAATCCCACATTTTTGGAAAAAAAGAAAAAAAGGTTTGATGTGATTAGGAGATTTGGTAAATCTTTCTAGATTTCGTAAATCAAGACTAGATTCGGTGTATTTTTTGATTCGTTGTATCTTCCGTAAATCGGACCGGATTCGATGGATCAACACCGTAATGCGAACGACGATGTGTCAAGCATGCAGGTGCATGATCGATGTGTGTTAGCCATGCGAGCGCATGTTCGCCATGTGTTGGCCATGCGAGCGCATGTTCGCCGTCTGTCAGAATGTGTGCATGTTTACCGTGTGTCAGAACGAGTGCATGATCGCCGTGTGTCGGCCATGCGAGCGCATGTTAGCCGTATGTTGGCCATGCGAGCGCATGTTCGCCGTGTGTCAGAACGAGTGCATGTTCACCGAGTGTCGTACATGCGGGCGTATATTAGCCATGTGTCGCGACGTCTCCTCCAAGTGTTGTGGGATATCTGCCACTTGTTCCGCATGCGTGAGAGGTCTTCACCTATAAATATAGGTAGTGGCTCTTTATTTTTGGGAGAAGGAGGAGATCCCGAAGGTGAAGAAGCTCTGCTGGAGACTGTTTTGTCGTTTTTCTGCCGTTGCCGAGAAGAATCGCCGAGAGATCTGATTTGCCGTCCACATCTGTGAGTTCCAAAGTGTGTGAAGTGGCGCACAAACTTTCTCTTCTTGATTGCTTGCTTGTTTTTTTTTGTTGTTGTTGTCGTGGTTTGGCTCATGTTGTTTGTGTGGTTGTTATTTAGAGTTTTGTGGTGTTCGAGTGCACTTCCCTCTTTTTATTGGGTTCGGAGAGACTAGGTCGCTCCCAAGGGCCAGACAGTTACCTGACGAGGTAACGGGGATTGTCCGTCGTTGAAGGCCCATGTGGTATATCGTTTATAGACTTCGTGGCTTTAAACGGATTGTTCACTTGTTCGATGGGAAGGATCGTTCACATGGCCATAGGATGTGTTGTGTTGTTATTTGTTGTTTATTGCTTGTTTGTTTAGGTTGCATGTTAGATTGATTGTTTTCCATTGTTCGTCAATGGTTTTGCTTGTTGCTTGTTTATCTATTTTTCTGTTGGGGACTTGGGGTGTTTAATTTTCGAGTTTAGGCGTCGAACTAACTGAGTAATTAGTACTCATGATGCCACTATTTTGTTGCTGGTAACCATTAGTTGGGTTGCTTTAGAGGGAGTTTGGACGTGTAGGCCGCTGGTGTAGTTTGTTAGTTGTTTAAGTTGCTTTTATTTCTTTTTGGTATATGCTTGAAGTCATGACTCGTTAAAACTGGTTTTTGTATGAACGTTGTTTTATTACTATTATTGAATAAAGTTATGTTTAATTTTATGACGAGGAATTGATGATAAGCCTTTGTCCGGGCCGACACAATTTCCTTTCTCGGAAAAGGTTTGGCAAGCCTAATTTCGGGATCGGAAGAGACGGTACTAAGGGTGGACGGACTAAGGACACTAATTTTGTGCTACAACCTCGGTCTATTCGTACAAAGTACTTGTCACATGTAAGGGCCTAGCCGGACTTATGTCTAGTATGGTTAAGAGACGCTACACCGCGCCTAGCCCATTTTTTTTTACATTTTTAATGGATCTAAAATTCAATTGTCCAACCTATGTTTGTAATTTGTTTAAAAATCATAAATCTGAGCTTAAAATCTTGATTTCATGTGTTACGTAATTTATTTATAAAACAAAATTATATAAATTTTTTAATTATAATGGATTAATATGTTTTTAAAACATTACATAGTCCTAAAGCTAATCCCGATTAATTTCCATATAATCTCCGATTTTTTTTGCTAGGTGCTAGGCCCACCCTCACCGCCGCTTAGCGATTTTTTGAACACCCATGAGATTAATAAAAAATTTATTGGATGACTCAAATATATATATATAACAAAATCGAATTAAGATTTCTATAAAGCAAATTGTACCAGTACTAGATTTTAACCCGCGGTACACCGCGGGGCTATATTTTCTTAAAAAAATCAAAATGTAATTTGTTTGATAGATTATTTTGATTGTTAATTTTAGGATTTCACCCGTGGTATACTATCTTTTATAAATATCAACCCAAACCCGTGCCATCATATTACCCGTCCCGTGAAATTAAACATCATTTAGTTATTTTTCTTTTTAATAATACTTTTATTTAAAAGCTATATAATTCAAGTCAATTTAAAAATTTCTTTTAAATGGTTCCCATAAGATATATATACATATATATTAAATTTGTATAGATTTGAAATAATATTAATATTACAAACTTTTTATATAATTTAAATATTATAAATATTTTTAAAAATATGCAATATATATTTTTTGTTATTGAATAAGAGGATATTATGTGTAAGAAATATAGAAAATAAGAGTTTAATATTTTTATTATGGAGTCGCAAGAAAAATCTTTTATTTCTATACATGTTATTCGTTTATTAATAATAAAAGAAAACAAATCCTTTAAATTAGATATTAACTAAAATAAACGCACCATAATTACTTATTAAGTAACAACCAATAAATTTCACCAAAAAATAGGTAACAACCAATAAATTCTAAACGCAGTAATTAAAGAATGAGATATTAAAAAAATATATCAAATAAGATATAAGAATCTTAAAATAATTGAATATCTAAATAATTTAATTGTTAGTGTCGATTTTAATGCCTTTATTAATGTGGATTTTTTTTTTTTACAGAGAAATATTTCCTAAAGATTATAACATTATTGACTCAGAAAATTAAGGAAGATATGAATTTATGATTCTCGAAATCGTGTTGGTAATATCTTTAAATAATATTTTTCAAATTTAAATAATTAATGCCAATGGCATTCATCCGTAAATACATTCCAACTCCAGGATTTATTTGCTAAAAGTCATCCAAAAATGTATATATAGATTCGTTTTTGTTTTGTTTAAATAGATTTTTCGAATAAGTATTGCCATTTTTCTAATGAATTTCGTTTATTTTGTATGGACTAGTTATTAAAGATTCTAAATTTGTATAACGTTCTTAAGAAGTATCTTATATCTCCATAATATTACTTTTTATTTTATATATATACACATGAAATTAATAATTTCTATTAGATGATATATATATATATATATATATATATATATATATATATATATCTAATTTCTATTTGTTGCAACATTTACGACGCATTTAGCTTTGTGAAAAATTGCAACAACAACAACTTTGACACTATATTATATTGTAGCAAATTTGTTACAATATAATTTAGTTAGTATGTCCTTACTGAGCTACACCACATGGAACACTCCCCGGTATCCCTTTTGGACCTCGCAAAGAGAGAACGTGACTGCATTCGCGGTCTGCAACAAAGGATTTCGTATTTTCTTCATCAAAATAATCATCATAATTATTGTGAGGAAACGTCCACAATAATTAGTCTTTTATCAATTTAATGCAACTCCGTTTCAATTCCTTAATTTGACTCTAAATAAATAATATTCTAATCTTTATTTGTTACAACATTTGCGACGTGGTTAGTTTTGTGAAAATTTGCAACAACTACTTTGATACTATATTGTAGCAAATTTGTTATAATATAACTTATCAGTATTTATTGCTATTTATCTACGTTTAGTAACAAATTGGCTACAAACCGTAGTAATTAAACTAATTTGTAAATAATAGTAGCAAATTGTTGTTACAATATTTTGTTGTCTCGTAACGTGGCTATATGGAAGAAATTTTTTAGTATATATAGCCACAACATTGCAACTATATATATATGTGCACTACAAAAAAAGTGTGCATTGATAGCATATTAGGATAGCACGGATTTTGCAAATGCTATTAAAGATGATATCGAGGGATTTGTAACTATATCGTAGCATTTGAAAAATGCTAAGCCCTATAATAGCAAAGAAGAGACGTAGAATCACTTATGACCGCCAAAACTTAGCAAATATTTCACAAAAACCGCTTAACACTTTAGCAAAAAAAATTTTTTTTTTAAATTATTAAGAGACAACCCTAATTTCTATCTTCTTCTCCTTCATCGTTCTCTCCTCCTATACCTCTCTATTCTTCTTTTCTCCTCTCTCGCTTACTCTCTTCCTCTGATTATGCAACCCTAGATCTATTAGATTTTATCAGTTTCGCTTCAGATTTCAGATCCATTATCTCTTTGTCACCCTCGCTTTCATCCCCAAATTTATCTTATTCTTCTTCAATTTGATGAAAACTTCAGTCTCCATCTTCGTCGGTGGTCTGAGATAGCCTTAAACCATAAATTTAATTTCGGTGGCTGAAACGTAGGTGAAACCCAAACCATCTTCGTCGCTTGGTTCTTCGTAGCTGAAAGGTTTCTCGATCAATTGCTTAATCCTTCTCGCTCCGACTCCCATCTTTCTCTTTCTCTCGGCTCCATATGTACGATTTTGTTAGGATTCACTAGATTTATTAGCAATTGTAGATGAATTTGGGTTAGATTGATTTAGCAGTGAGATAATGATTTCGATTTAGAAAGCAAAAAGTCTCCATCGAGTTCTTCTAGTGAGTTTTTACATATCTATTTTCATACATCATAGAACTCTCCCTTTTTCTACTCTAATATCTTACTTGTTTCCCAGATACAATGAATCCTCAAATACTTCCAGAGCTCTTTTCCATTTAGTGAGAGTGGCAAGAGAGCAAAGCTCAAGAAATAACCAAGAGAGGTCTGTCTTTCCGCTTTTTCTTTGTTTTTTTTTCAATGAACATGATGGAGTCTTTACTCACGTAGTTCTTAGGATTCAAGCAAACCATGCCTTATTTATGGACTGTCGCAATGTCTCCTCTTTGGTATATATGTGCAGTCTTTGAAAAATGTTTGCAATTGTTCATGTTTACTCTATTAAGATGTCGTTACTTTTCTCGTTTTCTCATTGCTGCTTCAAATGGTTCATGTGTACTCTATTAAGATTTGTTAGGATGTGATCTTTAAGAATTTAATTTGGTTACTTTAGTCTAGGTTGTTGCGACTTAGATAACGATTACTCTACAGATTTGTAATGTTAATGGTAATGTTTCATACTTGATCCTTTATTGGAGTCTGTTTTTTATGGCTTCTGATGATTGTGGAAGTGGAAATAGCTTTCCAGATTGATGGCTGCAGGTTTTGATTTTCTGTTACAGGTTTTAGTTTATGAATTTTCAGGTTTTGGTTTCTAAATTTGCAAGTTTTGGTTGTCTAAGTCACAAGTTTTGGGTTTCTCTGGTTAGCTACTACATTTTTATTTCATACACACGTTATTTTCCTTAACTTACATGGGTTCTGTTTTTGACAGTGAAGGGACAAAAGGTTAATACTAGTCCTAGCTAGTAATTGTACTCTCATGTGCTTGGATTCATTGAGAAAGCAGGAGATAAAGAAAGGCTTTTGAAGTGGAGTTTGAGTGATACCTGGAATGGGTATAGATTCTTACTATCACTTAATCTTGTTTAGATCTGTTTCTCGTCTTGTGTGTTATATACGTATAATCTAATCTTTTGTGTATTTAGCAATCACAAATGTGGTAACAATCTCTACGATCCTGAAGCACACTGGACTAGCAACATAGAAGAGTAAGTAAAATTTCCTTTCTTATCATCAACGTTTATTTTTTGTAAATCATAATTCAGTAATCTGTTTTCCCTTTGTTCCATGTTTGCCAACAGAGGTGTTAACGTTGTTGACTGTGGGAATGAAAGACAAGAACAAAGGAAGCATGGTCCAGAAGGCTAAGGCAAGTTTCTTTTAATATTTTTTTAAGGCTGGTGAATAAGCTACAACAGAAGCTGTTTAGGTCATTGGATTGTCTTTGAAGTCTGATGCTAAAAAGACCATCATGAATCTCAGGTTCCCTCTTTTTCTCACGGTTTTCTAGCCATTATCTTGTAGAAGTAATTGAGAAAGTCACTTGCTTTTACTCATACAAAGACATCCAACTTCAAAAAGAGAACTGAACTGCAGAGGATATAGAGAAGGCAGTGAAATGAGAATTGCTTGGAATGAGACATCATCTTAAGTCCTTGGAGGGAGGGAAAGAGCAAACCAATGGAGTTCTTTGTTTAGTCCATCTGAATTGCAGTACTTATGACGTTGTTTATGACCTTTGTTTTTATAACAAATGGTGTTAAATGCTGAACTATTTTGTAAAATTACAATTATGTATTTTTTGATGATCTATGAAAAGAAACGTGCTTTCAACAAATTGGTTTTGTAGCATATAATTATTTGGATTTTAAATTTATAGATTTAAAATAATTTTGCAATTCATCATTTTATAATGTAGCACATAAAAATTGCTACACAAAAATATAATATAGCAAAAAATATGAGTTATAAAAAATTATATTAAAGCATTCGATTAGTGCTATACTAGAAGGACTTATAATAGCACGACAAAAAATGCTTTTGTATGGGTGATACCTACTATAGCTGCCGAGAACATAGCGTTTGTGAATTCGCTATCTATAACGTAAGATAGCATATTTTTAGCGCTATCAATGAACAAATTTCTTGTAGTGGTGTGTCCATAGTGCGAATCTCCCTTTGGTCGTATGTGTGTCCATAGTGTGAATCTCCCTTTGGTCGAAAACCAATGTCTTGTCCTTGTGTGCTTTTCAAGTTAAGAATAACACTTATTGCTGCAACCTAATGATCGATATTGTTGCAGATACGGTATAAACTTAGCTAATATCAAAACAATGTAACATAGGTCGGTCTGAGTAATTATATGATTGATAAGATGTTATATACCTGGATCTCCAAGAGTGTATGAACCACGGAAGTGGATCGATGAGCTGAGCTCCACTCCACGAGATGGAAGTCTTTGTGATAAGCTGGAGTTCTCAATTTTAATGGAGACATACTCAACATAAAAAGAGAAAAGTAAGATAATACACACTTTGCTAAGAAAAAAAAAAACTGAATTTTCAATTGATAAGAATGGTGAATAAAAGAAAATAGGTGTTGAACCTATAGAGAGACTCAAAATCAAATATCCCTAAGTACTAAAACAAGCAAAAAATAAAACATAAAATTCAAAATACAAAAGAATTGATTACCCAAATTACTATGTAGTCGTTGGGCATTAACTGCTTTGGTGCAAATGGGTCTAAACATTGAAGGCCTAGGCCTGAGGGATGCCTTGACTTTCTTTGAGTTGTGACGTGCAAACTAGGGCCTATTTCAATTATACACCAAAGAAGTAACAACTAGGACCTATTTTACGAAAAATTAAGTTTGCACGATCTCTACACTTTCGTAAACTATGCATAGATCTATTATTGATTAAATTTAGTGTAATTTTTGACATATATTATTTAGTGCATATATTTCAGAAAAAAAAAAAAAAGGTAATAATGTGAACATGCATGAGAAAAAAATACAAAAACTATTTTGCTTACACAACAATTTAAAACACCCGTAGACGCCAAACACTACAGTAACTCATTTTTAGGACAAGAAACAAAGTGAAAAAAAAAAAAAAAAAAAACTAAACTAACCAAAACTTAAAGCCACAAAGGCCCAAAGAACAAAACAAAAAGCAAACCCAAAAAAAAAAAAAAAACAGAAACACAAAAAAAAAAGCAAAGAACCGTTTATTCTTCATCTTCATCTTCTTCTTCGCTTCGTCTTCTTCTTCTTCTTCCGTGAAGAAGGTCAAAAACACACCACCGCTTAACCCAATTACAAAAAAAAAATGTCGAAGCTTCAAAATTTCTCAAATTAAACAATCTCTTTTAGTTATTTCCCCTTCTTCTTCGTAATCGCCGCCGGCTTATGCTGTTTCCGATTGTTATCTCCGGTGTATCTCCGGTGGTCTCTCCCACGACTAATTTATAATTACTATGAAGAGCAACTCCAAAATCAACAACGGAGATAATCATAATCAAACGAAGACTAATGGTACTAATGGCTTTTTGCCTAATTCGTTAAAATTCATCTCTACTTGCATCAGAACTGCTTCTTCCGGTGTTCGCTCAGCTAGCGCCTCCGTCGCTGCTTCTCTCTCTTCTGATTCTCATGAGCTTAAAGATCAGGTTTTGACTCAATTTTGATTTTCCCCAATTCCTGATTTTGGATTTTGAATTTGGAATTTTGGGGGTTTTTGATTCATAATTTGATTCATTCTCCAATTGGGTTTATCTGATTTTGATCAGATTAGGAAAAGTTTTGAGCTTTTTAAGTTTAGCAGATAGGTTTGACTTGTGATCTTTGTTTTGGTGAAGCAGGTGTTGTGGTCTTCATTTGATAGATTACACACAAGTGAATCTTCTTTCAAGAACGTTCTTTTACTAGGTTATACGAACGGGTTTCAAGTTCTTGATATCGATGATGCAAGTGATGTTACCGAATTTGTGTCCAGGCGGGATGATCCAGTTACGTTTTTACAGATGCAGCCATTACCTGCTAAATGTGATGGAGTTGAAGGATTTAGATCATCACATCCTATACTTTTAGCTGTTGCTGATGAGGCTAAAGGTTCAGGTCCTATTGTAACTGGTAGAGATGGATCGGTTAGAAATGGTTATGAGGATCCTCTTGCACTCTCTCCCACGGTTGTGCGGTTCTATTCGCTTCGATCTCATAACTATGTTCATGTTTTGAGATTTCGATCTACTGTTTATATGGTTAGATGCAGTCCTCGGATTGTCGCTGTTGGTCTTGGTTCGCAGGTTAGCTTTTATGTGCTTAGAATGTTCTGGTAATTGAGAGAGGCATCTATTAATGTTTTTCCATTTTGATGCAGATATATTGTTTTGATGCTCTAACTCTTGAAAACAAATTCAGCGTCCTTTCGTATCCTGTACCTCAGCTTGGAAACCAAGGGATATCTGGTGTTAATGTCGGATATGGTCCAATGGCTGTCGGACCTAGATGGTTAGCTTATGCTTCCAATAGTCCTTTATCATCGAGTATAGGTCGACTGAGCCCTCAGAATGTTACTCCTCCTGGGGTCAGTCCATCTACCTCGCCAAGTAATGGTAATCTAGTGGCAAGATACGCCATGGAATCTAGTAAGCATTTGGCAGCTGGGTTACTCAATATGGGTGACAAGAGTTTCAAAACTATATCTAAATACTGTCAAGATCTCAAGCACGACGGTCCTGGTCCTTCTCTTTCGTCCAGTCCTGGCCGGAAAGTTGGTCGGCTTGCATCTCATTCAGCAGAGTCAGATGTTGTTGGAACGGTTAGTCTTTTAGAGAAAGCATCTTATCTTGATTATATTGAAACCTCGTTTTTTGTGCGTTGTGGAATGTCAAACCCTTTATTGAGTATCGCCAGAACCTGGATTAGGATAGTAAATATGTTATACGGTGTTTTCTTTATTTTGTGATGCACTTTGGATAGTTATTTCAATCTGTTTTTAAAGAGTTGGGTATCTAAAGAAGAGGAGTATAACCCGCTTATCACTATGACCGGTGGCAGGTAATTGTCAAAGATTTTGAGTCCCGAGCTATTATAGCACAATTCAGGGCTCACACTAGTCCAATTTCTGCTCTCTGTTTCGACCCAAGTGGCACTCTACTAGTAACAGCCTCAATCCACGGTAACAATATTAACGTTTTCCGGATTATGCCGTCACATACAAAGAATGGACCAGGTGCTCAAAGCTATGATTGGAGCTCCTCCCATGTGCCTCTTTACAAACTACATCGTGGCATGACATCAGCTGTATGTTTCTTATTAATTTTTGTTTTGTAGCTATGCCTCATTTTGGCATTTATGTTACTGTAAACGCTGCTGTGCTAAATTCCCACAGGTAATACAAGGTATTTGCTTTAGTAGCTACAGTCAGTGGATTGCAATTGTTTCATCTAAGGGCACCTGCCATATATATGTTTTGTCCCCGTTCGGCGGAGAAAATGTTCTTGAAATACGAAACTCTCAATTCGATGGACCAACGCTTGCTCCAACATTGTCCCTGCCGTGGTGGTCCAGTCCATCGTTTATGACCACCCATTTTTCATATCCACCCCCAGCGTCGGTTACTCTTTCTGTGGTTAGCCGAATCAAATGCAACAATTTCTTCCATGCTGCAAGTTCCGTTGTAGGAAAACCGACCTTCCCCTCTGGCTGTCTTGCTGCTGTTTTCCATCAATCTGTGCCACAAGAATCGCAGTCGTCATCTCATGCCTTGGACTACTTACTGGTTTACACCCCATCAGGTCATGTAGTTCAATACAAACTCATTCCATCTCTTGGAGGAGACCAGGCTGAGAGCAATACGCGAAATGGAGCACCTTCTGTACTGACCTCTGAAGAGGAACTGAGAGTGAAAGTTGAACCAGTTCAGTGTTGGGATGTCTGTCGAAGAGCTGATTGGCCAGAGAGAGAGGAGAACATATGCGGGCTTACTTATGGTGGACGAAACATTGCAGAGCAAACCGTTGATACCTCTGATAGTGAAGACTTAACAAAGCCTCTGGAGAAACACCATGTTTATCTTGCCAATGCAGAGGTGCTGATAAACTCCGGAAGAAAACCAATCTGGCAAAATTCAGAGGTGCCATCTACTTTTCTGTTTCCTTACAATCCATGATAAAACACGATTTAGTCATGTCTTCTTACTATATAGAATGTACAATGGCTGACACTCCCTTAAATTTTATAAATTCCAGATATCTTTCTATCCGATGTTTCCACCAGACTCTGATGGCAAGAACCTGAATTCGCATCAAGGTGGCGGGGAGACAGAAATCGGGAAGGTATCTGCGAATGAGGTTGACATTAGGCGGAAGGATTTGCTGCCGGTGTATGATAATTTTCACAGTGTGTATACCAGTATGCGCAACAGGTACGTTACCTCGCTAACTGCATCACATCTTATAAATTGCGTCTGTCAATGATCCAATTGGGAAGTGGTTCTTCTTATGCTTGCAGAGGATTTTCTGCGGAAAGAGATTCAGATTCAACTTCTTCTTCTGATCCCGGACAAGTTAAAGAAATACATCCATTCAATGGTAATCAAATTTACTTTCTTATCGATGCATTATAACATTTGTCAGATCTTCAAACTGATGTTTTAAACAGGTATGGCTTACCCCGAGGATGTGGAAAGTAGAGGAAGTGCCCATTTTGCACTATCTCCAAACCAAAATCCTCATACCGGAATTGTAACATTCAAACAGCCTGTAGTTTCCATTTCTTCTGCTGTGAAAGACACTGATTATATAGACGACGCTCATCTCTTGCCAAAGAACG